GGAGTAGGTATTCCCCTCCCCACCCCTGGAAGCTAGGCTCAGGAAGATGACCTAGAAAAGACCACCAGCCTGGTGCCGTGGCTCATGTCAGTAATCTCAGCATGTGCAGACAGAGATCACTTGAGGCCCAAGAGTTTGAGACCAGGCTGGGCAACATTGCAAGATCCAGTCTCTTGGAAAAAAAAAAAAAAAGAAAGAAGGAAAGAAAGAAAAGAAAAAAAGGAAAGAGAAAGGAAATTTAAGCCTGGTGTGGTGGTGTGCTTCTATAGTCTCAGCTACTCAGGAGGCTGAGGCAGGCAGATTACTTGAACCCAGGAGGTCGAGGCTGCAGTGGGCTATGATTGTGCCACTGCCCTCCAGCCTGGGTGACAGAGCAAGACCAACTAGATGTTCCTATCTAGACTTTGGCTCTAGAAGTATTGATACAAGGTTCATTGGAGACAATGCAGTGAATTAATGAATCTGGCAGCTATATTTTTAGCAGTGTGGCGGTACAGTGGTGTACAGTGTTGGGGTGGTAACAGCAAGTGTCCAACTGCAGCTCTAGTAGCAAATTCTTACTGGTATCTGCTTCCCTGGGTTTCTACCCAAGCCTGTTTCTCTAGCTCTGTTCTTTCTGTGAGCTAACCTGATAGGTCTCCTGTAAATTCCTTTATTGGTGAAAGAAACCAGTGTCAGTTTCTGCTGTTTACAAACAAGAAGACAACTAGGAATACCTTTTAATTACCACTTTGTATTTTTACTATTGTGATTTACCTGCACACACCATTTGCCCATTTCTCTTTTTGGTTTATGCTTTTATAAATGTTGTCTCATAAAAGTGTTTTTTGTTTGTTTTGGGGGGTTTTCTTTTTGTTTTAGACGGAGTCTCACTCCATCACCCAGGCTGGAGTGCAGTGGCATGATCTCAGCTCACTGCAACCTACGCCTCTCGGGTTCAAGCAATTCTTGTGCCTCAGCCTCCTGAGTAGCTGAAATTACAGGCATGTACCACCACGCCCGACTAATTTTTGTATTTTTAGTAGAGACAGGGTTTCACTATTTAGGCCAGGCTGGTCTAGAACTCCTGGCCTCAAATGATCCACCCGCCGTGGCCTCCCAAAGTGCAGGAATTATAGGCATGAGCCACCACCCCTGGTCCATGAAAATATTTTCTATACAAATTATATTATGTTTCAGTCTATACTACTCCCTACTTACCTTTCAACCATGTTTACGGTGTTTTCATATCATATAGGAAACTTAAATTATTATTATTTTTATTATTTTTGAGACAGGGTCTCACTGTCACCCAGGATGGGGTGCAGTGGCACGATCATGGCTCACTGCAGCCTCGACTTCCTGGGCTCAAGCGATCCTCTCACCTCAGCCTCCTCAGTAGCTGGGATTACAGGTGCATGCTACCACACCCAGCTAACTTTTTGTATTTTTAGCAGAGACAGGGTTTCACCACGTTACCTAGGCTGGTTGCAAACTCCTAGGCTCAAGTCATTCACCCACCTCAGTCTCCCAAAGTGCTAGGATTATAGGTGTAAGCCACTATGCCCAGCCTAAATTATTTTATATAGTGAAATAGATGAGTCTTTTTCATAAAAATTTACAATCTTTTTGACATGCTGAGACAAACAGCCTCCCCCCACTCCAAGATCATAAGAATATTCGTGTGTGTGTGTGTGTGTGTGTGTGTGTGTGTGTGTGTGTGTTTGAGATGGAGTCTCACTCCCATTGCACAGGCTGGAGTACAGTGGCGCGATCTCGGCTCACTGCCAACTCCACCTCCCAAGTTCAAGCAATTCTCTTTCCTCAGCCTCCCAAGTAGCTGGGATTACAGGTATGTGCCACTACGCCTGGCTAATTTTTGTATTTTTAGTAGAGATGGGGTTTCGCCGTGTTGGCCAGGCTGGTCTCGAACTCCTGACCTCAGGTAATCCACCAGCCTAAGTTTCCCAAAGTGCTAGGATTACAGGCATGAGCCACTGCACCTGGCCCATCTGTATTTTAATTTAGTGCAGTTCATCCAGTGCTTTACCATTAAGCATGCTTGCCTTTGGTTTCAGATATATATTATTTATTGCATTAAAGTGATATCCATTTATTCCTACTTCAGGAATGGTTATGATCAGGAATTGGTCTTGAATTTTATCAGATGCCTTCTGGGCATCAACAGAGATGAGCCTTTGCATTTTTCTTCTTTGACCTATATACCCATCGTAAGTTCTTAGTTGCAAACAACATAAATGACTTTTACTAACTTAAGCAGAAAAGGAGATCATTAGAAGGATATCAACAGCTCACATAACTGTCAGAAAAGCTTCAGAATCAGACTTAGGAAACCAAGGAACACCATGCATAGCCAAGACTCTGCTCCAGAAAATGCTGCATAAGATGTTACTGTTGGCGCCATCAGTGAAGCTGGCACCGCTGTCAGACAGTGGCAGCCACATCACTTGCCTCTTAGTTCTGCTGTAGCCACTATGAATAACCTTGAATAACTTCCAAATGTCTCTGAACTTTTGCTCTCCTACCTGATAGAGTTTGGATATTTGTCCCCTCCAAAGCTTAGATTGAAATGTGATCCCTGGCAGGGTGCAGTGGTAGACACCTGTAATCCCAACACTTTGGAGGTCAAAGGTGGGAAGATTGCTTAAGCCCAGGAATTCAAGACAATTTGTACCCATATGTACAAAAAAAAAAATAAAATACCCAGGCATGATGATCCACAACTGTAGTCCTAGCTACTTGGGAGGCTAAGGTGGGAGAATCACCTGAGCCCAGGTAGTTAAAGCTTCAGTGAGCCGTGAACATGTCACTGCACTCCAGCCTGGGTGATAGAGCAAGACCCTGTCTCAAAAAGAAGAGAAGAGATGAGAAGGGAAGGGAAGACGGGACGGGACGCAGAGAGCAGCGGAGGGGAGTGGAGGGGAGGACAGGGAGGGTAGAGCAGGGCTGGATAGGGTAGGGTAGGGCTGGGTAGGGTAGGGTAGGGTAGGGTAGGGCAAGACAAGACAGGTCAAGACAAGAAATGTGATCCCTGATGTTGAAGGTGGAGCCTAGTGGGAGGTGTTTGGGTCACGGGAGCAAATCCCTCATGAATGGCTTGGTGCAGTCCTCGAAGTAATAAGTGAGTTCTCACTCTATTGGTTCACAGGAAATCCAATTGTTGAAAAGAGCCTGGCACCTCCTCCCTTCCTTCTTGCTCCCTCTCTTGCCATGTGACACAGCTGAGTCCCTTTCACCTTCTGCCATAAGCGGAAGCACCAGACTGGCACTGTGCTTCTTGTACAAACTGCAGAACCATGAGTCAAAAGAAACACTTTTCTTTGTAAATTACTCAGTCTTGGGTACTCCTTTATAACAATGCAAAATGGACCAATATAATACCTTCAGCATTCTAAGCTCAAAATAGAAGCATCCATTTGGTTGGTCTAGGTCCTAGGTCTGGACACTAGCAGCTGGAAAGTAGGGAAGGAACCATCATCTTCCTCCAGCTTCCATAGTGGGAAACAAAGCTGCCTCCCATCTATCTTGAGGTTCCCCCTAAGCAAGAGATTACTCAATGCAGGATAGTCAAAATGGACAGATGTCCACTACATCTCATTCATGTGGTATGTCATATTGATAACATTAAATTGTTGATTTATCTATTTACTAACTTTTTGTTTTGAGACAGGGTCGTGCTCTATCACCCAGGCTGGAGTGCAGTGGCACAATCATAGCTCATGGTAACCACAGACTCCTCCTGAGCTCAAGTGATCCTGCTATCTCAGCCTCTTGAATAGCTGGGACTATAGGTGCATACCACCTATCCCACTAATTGTTTTTATTTTTCTGTAGAGATGGGATTTTGCTATGTTGGCCACGCTGTTCTCAGACTCCTAGCCTCAAGTGATCCTCCCACCTCAACCTTTCAAAGAGCTGGGATTACAAGTGTGAGCCACTGCACCTGGCCTTACTTACACGTCATACAGAATTTCATATCTATGTAAGAAAACTAGCTTGCAGTGTGTGTGTGTGTGTGTGTGTGTGTGTGTGTGTGTGTGTGCATACATGCTATCCTCATCAGATTTCAGTTTTACTAGCTTAAAAAAAAAAACAACTGTTAAGTGTCCCCATTTTCTTTAGGCTCCAGAACAATTTAAATGACGTGCTGTCAATAGTTACAAGAATTCATTCAATGTACTCTCTGGATCTGGTTTCAGGGAGTAGGGAGGTCAATTCCATCTCAAAAAAAAGTGCATTTAAGTTTTTTAAAAGGCATGAAGAAGTTCAAAAAACAATCTTTAGAAAGCACAAAGCTTTGACAGGATGACAGCAGAATGGCTGAGAAAACGCTGATTCCTTTGAGGGAGAGGTCACATCTGGGCACCTTGAGATATAAGTGGTACATTTGTTTGGTACAACAAACACACAGTTAGGCACTTAGCTTCCAGGTCTACAATCAAGTGGGCCAGAAGAGAGGGACTCTGGTGACCCTTACTCATATGACAAAGGGCAGAGGGCAGATTCCTCCTGGGAATCCTATGATCATCTCAGAATGAGTTAGGAGCAATGGAACAGAGACCCTGGTCTTGCCCAATAAGTCTTCCAAACACCTAGGAGAGTTCCAGACATCTAAGTTACACCAGAACACAATGGAAAGAAGAAATAAAACCTTTAAAAAAAATTTTTGCCGAAATTAGAGAAATATGAGATTCATTCCACTATAAATATTTGACAAATTAATTAGAGTGCTTACTATGTGATACATGCCTGTTCAAGATTCTGGGGACAGGCTGAACGCAGTGGCTCAGGACTGTAATCCCAGCACTTTAGGAGGTAGAGGCAGGAGGATCCACTTGAGGCCAGGAGTTCCAGGTTGCGGTGAGCTGTAATTGTGCGGCTACACTCCAGCCTGGGCAACAGAGCAAGATCCTGTCTCAAAAAAAAAAAAAAAAAAAAAAAAAAAAAAAAAAATCCTGGGAGTGTCACAGTGAAAATACAAAGTATTTTCCACACTAGGGGAAGACAACAGGAAATAAGCAAATACACAAATACTGTGCGTAATATAATTTCAGCTACCGATAATTGCTTGGAAGAAAAACAAAACCAAGAAAAGAGACAGGAAGTGGTGGGCAGAGAGTATGTTATGTAGAATGCTGAAGACAGCCTCTCTGAGGAGGGATATTTGAGCAGGGAACTGAATGAGGTATGGCAACTAGCACCTGTGGAAGTCTGAGGACCATCCAGAGAGAGGCCAGAGGAAATGCAAAAGGCCTAAGTTGGAAATGAGTCTGGCCTGTTCCAGGAAGAACAAGCAGATCAGAGTGGCTGCCATGAACTGAGCAAAGGAGGAAATGGCCAAAGATGAGGTGGAGGAGACGGGCAAGGAATCAGAAAATGTAGGACCTCATTCCAGGAGTTTGAGACTACCCTGGGCAACAAGGTAAGACCCCATTTCTAATTTTTTTTTTTTTTGAGACAGGGTCTCTCTCTTTCACCCAGGCTGGAGTGCAGTGGCACAATCATGTCTCACTATAGCGTCGACTTCCCAGGAGGCTCAAGCAACCCTCCCACCTTAGCTTCCTAAGTGCATGTCACTACACTCTGCTAATTTTTGTATTCTTTTATAATGACAGGATTTTGCCATGGTGCCAGGCTGGTCTGGAACTCCTGAGCTCAAGAGATCCTTCCACCCTGGCCTCCAAAAGTGCTGGAATTACAGCATGAACCACCCCGCCTGATGAAAAAAAAAGAAGAAGAAGAAATTTGAAAAAATTAGTCAGATGTGGTGACTAATTAAAAAAAAATACACCTATAGTCCCAACTATGTGGGAGGCTAAGGCAGGAAGACTTCTTGAGCTCAGGAATCTGAGGCTTCAGTGAGCTATGATCGCTCTGCACTCCAGCCTGCAGACAGAGCAAGACTCTATCATAAATAAATAAATAGGCAGGGTACAGTGTCTCATGCTTGTAACCCCAGCACTTTGGGAGGCCAAGACAGGCGGATCACAAGGTCAGGAGTTTGAGACCAGCCTGGCCAATATGGTGAAACCTGTCTCTACTAAAAATACAAAAATTAGCCGGATGCAGTAGTATATACCTGTAGTCCCAGCTACTCAGGAGGCTGAGGCAAGAGAATCACTCGAACCTAGGAGGCAAGATCATGCCACTGCACTCCAGCCTGGGCAGCAGAACAAGATTCCATCTCAAAAAAAAAAAAAAAAAATAGGACCTCATGGGGACTTGGTAAAGAGGGCTGAAGATTATTTGGACAAAAACAAAAATTTAGAAGATGCTGTCAGTGGTCATGTATATAATGCAATAGATAATGTGTAATTGAATGTTTCATAACTTTGAAAATGAAATTTGAGGATACAGAAGGGATTTTTAGAAAAATGGTATCAGTTAAACATATCAATTTTCCTCTGCTCCACACCAGTATTTTACTAAAATTAGAGCAAAAGAGTAAAAAAAGATGCAGGTCCACAACAGAGAGCTCAGAAGAGGAGAACCCAGTCAATGGGAGATTGTGTAAGTCAAAGTTCCATTGGAAAAGCAGAATCCACCTTGTATATTTCGAGTGGAAAAGGTCTGAATACGCAGAATTTCAGGCTTACCCCACCATTGGAAGGCTGGGGAAATGAAGACCAGGCAAGCCACTCCCACCAGTCTTAGACATAGCACTGATGTGAGTGAATCTCACCACCTCCCATGGAAACTTTGTGTGTCTTTTAAGGGCTGGGCTGGAACTGGAGTAGGACTAGTGAGGCAGTCTTCTGCCTCACTAGTTCGAGTTTTAAGGGGTTATCAAAGTTTTAAGGGGGCATCAAAGAATATTGTAATGCTATATATATATATACATATATATATTTTAAGACAGAGTCTCACTCTGTCACCCAGGCTAGAGTGCAATAACATGATCTTGGCTCACTGCAACCTCCACCTCTCAAATTCAAGTGATTCTCCTGCCTCAAGCCTCCCGAGTAGCTGGAATTAGAGGCACCCGTCACCATACCCAGCTAATTTTTTGATTTTTAGTAGAGTCAGAGTTTCACCATGTTGGCCAGGCTAGTCTTCAACTCCCGACCTCAAGTGATCCACCTGCCTCAACCTTCCAAAGTGCTGGGATTATAGGTGTGAAAACAGTGCCCAGCCATGCAATATATTTTAAAGCATTATTTATTTATTTATTTACTTTTTTCTCAAAAGTTAGAATAGTCCTGTTTGGTTGTTTATTTATTTATAAAGGTAGGGGTCTTGCTGTGTTGCCCAGGCTGGTCTCCAACTCCTGGCCTCAAGCAATCCTCCCACTTTACCTCCCAAGTAGCTGGAACTATAGGCTCAAGCCACCATGCCCATCAACATTTATTTCTTTTTCATTTACAAGGAATAATTATATGTTTGTAGAATACCATGTGATGTTTTGATCTATGTACACATTCTATGTATGTAGAAAGAACTAATCCAGCTAATTAACATTTCAATGCAATATTTTAAAACAACAAACAATGAGAAAAAACAATCCATGATCAACAAAATGTCCAAATTTTTAATAAAAACAAAATCCAACCCTGTACTTGCACAGCCCTCTCTCACGCACGTCTTCCTCATCCTATCTCTGCTCAAGAGCACTGTGAGGACTGAGTTACTGTCTTCCTAGCTATCCACAGCCCCAATATGGGTCATTTGCAACAGCGTGCCTGGAAGCCAATGAAACCTCAGGACCGTAGTTTTATTCATCCAGTCTGCCCACCAATAATTAATTCATTGAACGCCAATAATCACCTGACAGGAATTATACACAAAGAGCAGTAATCTCCACCAGACAATAACAGATGAAAATGGTAGAACTGAAGAACATGAGTGTCCAGGTTCAAAGCACCCAGCGCAATGTATTATTAAATGACCCATGCCGAAGCGTATAATTATTAGGTTGGTGCTAAAGTAATGACAAAACCACAATTCCTTTCTCACCAACCTAATAGGAAATTTTAGAACACCAAAAACAGATACATCTTTGAAATGTGTGTAATGAAAAGCAGAGGCCACAGAGTTACATTAAAAAGTAACATTGGGAGGTTGAGGGGGGCAGATCACTTGAGGCCCAGAGTTTGAGGCCAGCCTGGCCAACATGGTGAAACGCTGTCTTTACTAAAGTAAACAAAACCTCAGCCAGGCATGGTGGCATGTGCTTGTAGTCCCAGCTACTTAGGAAGCTGATGCATGAGATTTGCTTGAACCCAGGAGATGGAGGTTGCAGTGAGCCAAGATGGCACCACTGTACTCTAACCTGGGCAACAGAATAAGACTGTCTCTAAATAAATAAAGTATGTGACAATCAGAAAAAAGGACAATCAGAATGTCCTCGGACTTTCAAAAGCAACAAAGAAGCAAAACACAATGAAGTAATGTGTTCAAAATAAGGAGAAAATATTATTTCCAATCTGGAATTCTAGTCTCAGACAAACTACAAAGGCATTTTCATGCATTGCCTCAAAAAATGTACTTCTTATGACTTCTTTGTTAGGAAACTGTTAGGAAATATGGTCAACCAAAAAGAGAGATTAAGCCGTAGAGACTGGCAGAAGAGCCAGGATACATAACACATAACAGAGACAGAGGCCAAAGAAATTCCGGAATGCGTAGAGAACAAGTTCAGACTGAGTAAGATTATAGGAGGCTCTAAGAGAGATACGTCCAGGGAGGGAAAAAAAAGGGAAACTTGATGTGCCTGACTACATGAAAAAAATATTTTTAGCAGAATTTTGCAATTCTGTTGGAGAGCTTGGAAATAATTAGAGACAGTGACAGAGAAAACTGAGCAAACCAAAACAAGAAGCCATAATTCCAAGGAAAATACAGAAATTGACCAAAAGAGGAAATGTAATTTTAGTACTTGACACAGATCAGTAGGGAATAATATTTGCATTAGTCATAATAACATAGAACATTAAATAACAACTGTGCCTTAACCATATTGAGAGAATGGTAGGAGTACATGGTGTCATGAAAGTACCAAATCCTGTTCTACGCTGTGGCTGACATTGCTGGTTTCCCACCTAATATCTATTCTCCTCTTCTGATTTACAAATAGAATGCTGATTTTGTTTGGAGCAGCAATATACCTAATTTTAAAAACCCATTTTCACCCAGGCACTGTGGCTTACACCTGTAGTCCCAGTGCTCTGGGTAGCCAAGGTGGGAAGGTGGCTGGAGGTCAGGAATTCAAGAACAGCCTGGGCAACATAGTGAGACCCTGTCTCTATTTGAAAACAAAAATAGCTGGGTGTGAAGGCACATGCCTGTAGTCCCGGCTACTCAGGAGGCTGAGGCAAGAGGATCACTTGAACCCAGGAGTCTGAGGCTGCAGTGAGCCAATCACTCAAACCCTGTGATTGCACTACTGCACTCCAGCCTGAATGACAGAGCAAGACCTTGTCTAAAAATTAAATTACATTAAATTAAATTAAAAATTTAAAAATCCCGGTTTGCCATCTAATGACTGAAATAGAACAGAAATCCGTAGTGACTTCTGAGAAAATTTTTCTTTTTTGATCTCAGTGCTATCCTTTCCATCTTATCACTTGCTGCTTCTTCCTCTTGGGAAAAGGTATTCCAGGTATGGGGGTGCAGTAGCCATTTTGTGACCCTGATGATGAAAACCACATGCTAAGGATGGAAGAGCCAAAGAAAACAGGAGGCTGATTCTTGACGACATCCTTGAGCAGCTACACTAACTCAATGTACTAGTAACACACAAGTAGAAAATAAAATTAAAGACTGGGTGTGGTAACTCATACCTGAAATTCTAATAATTTGGGAGTCCAAAGAGGGAGGATTGCTTGAAGCCAGGAGTTTGAGACCAGTCTGGACAACATAGTGAGACTTCTATCTCAACAAAAAATGAAAAATTAATGAGGCATGGTGGCTGGTGCCTGTAATCCCAGCTACTTGAAAGGCACAAGGAAAATGTGGCACATATACACTGTGGAATACTATGCAGCCACAAAAAATGATGAGTTTGTGTCCCTTTTAGGGACATGGATGAATCTGGAAACCATCATTCTCAGCAAACTGACCCAAGAACAGAAAATCAAACACCACATATTCTCGCTCATAGGTGGGTGTTGAACAGTGAGAACATATGGACACAGGGAGGGGAGCTTCACACACTGGAGTCTGTGGAAGGGGTAGGAGAGGGATAGCAGGGGATGGGGAGGTTGAGTGGGATAACATGGGGAGAAATGCCAGATATAGGTGACAGGGGATGAAGGCAGCAAACCACCTTGCCATGTATGTACCTGTGCAACAATCTTGCATGATCTGCACATGTACCCCAGAACCTAAAGTACAATAAAAATAAATAAATAAATAAAACTGATGGGATAAGAAATAGTGCTTTAAATCTATTTAAGTAATAAAAGAAATGAATGTAAATCATTA